TCCACCTCCATTGCTCAGCCCGGATACTGAGGTCCCCTCACTGGTTCCCTCACTGCGATAAGCAAAGTTACAGGGAACCAGGCAGAGGGCCTTCTCAGTGGTGGCGCCAACCCTGTGGAACGCACTCCAGATGTCAATAAACATCTAGATTCAAAGACATCTGAAGGCAGCCCTGTTTAGGGAAGTTTTTAAGGATTGATGTTTTTATTATGTTTTTAGATATGTTGTAAGCCGCCCAGATGGACAGGGTATAAATAAAATGATGATGATGATGATAATAATAATAATTTAGCAGCTGCTGTATTATGATATGGGACTGGCTTGCCCTAAATGAGGTACTAGCAGAATACATGGAACCCCTGGAGTTGACGGCACTGCCTTGGGGCCTCCCCAGGTAAGCTGCAGATGATCCTTGTCTCCCCCCCCGTCAGACAAACTCTTGCGCACCATGTCCTGTAACCTCCCTCTATGATTCCTGGTGATATCTAATAGGTGTAGGTGGCTATTAATACACATATTTGAAGGGCAGTCTTTCTCTTTTCCTTTTTGTAGATGCTAGCATTTCCCTCCCTCCCCCCAATGGTGGAAACCACCTGATATTTTAATAGTCTTTTGCGCTTCCTGCTCTGCCAGTCAGCTGTAAAACATTGCCTCATTGACCATGTTTGAATGGGTGTCATGCATACTTACTGTTCCTTGTCGGCAAACTTTCGAGGGTAACAGCCACCAAGATGTTGCCGTTCCTGTGCTTCCTGGGGTGTGATAAGGCGGTAGCCTGCAAATTGGAATTTACAAGCAAGCTGGCCAATCTGCTGCCCCCAGCCCCAGCCCGCTTTGATCCTCATATGCCTGCAATCTCCCATGGTAGGCATACCGTTGCACACAATCTGATGATCCCCAGCGCAGCAGATGCAGTTCGGCAGGGACATCTAACAGTGTGTTAATTAAAGGGCTGATGAAGAACAAAGCAAACCTGCCTGCTCATCATGAGAAGTGCTGATTCTAGCAAATTGAAAGTTATATTCCGTGGCCTACGAAGCAAACGCTCACAGTGGCCATGCTGGAACACAAGCCAGACAACACAGCATTAATAGTGCTTCATCTTTCATGCCTTAATATCCCAACGGTCCTCTTTGCAAGAGGGAAAATACAGTGTTTGCAGATCAAAATACGCTTGGAAACTAAACAAAGGAGCCTGAAAAGAAGTATGGGAGATAGATCAGACCAAAGGTCCATCTATTGCAGCTTCCTGAATGCCATGATCAACCAGGTGCCTCTGGGAAACCAAGGAGATAGGTCTTCTCCTGCTGTTGCTCCGCAGCAACTGGTTCTCTGCCTCTGACCATGGAAGTTCTATGTAGCCTCCATGACTTTTCGTCTAACCGTGCAGCATACCTGCACAAATGCTAAACATTTGCCTATTTTAAATAGGTAATGTTTTTAATACCGGGCCCTCTGATCTAGAGAGGGTCAAAGAACTGTCAGCCAACTGTACCTTTATCACAACCAGGTATATACACAAGATCAGAGGATAATTTCACATGGCTGTTGTGCAACATCCATGGTTTTCCAAGTGAGCAAGCAACAGCCATGGACCTATGCAACTCATCAAGCCAGCTTCCTCCTGCTGGTATGCAATGAATATATGCGTGCTGCGAGTCGGCTTTACACTGGTCACTTCCGGATCATGGCACAATCAGCCAGCGCCATCTGCACTGTCGACTGGTGCAGTCACTACTCCAGTGTGTCGGCTGCCAGAAGCGCCTGTGAGACACTCCTGCTTTCTACTCCTGTTCAAGAAACACCATCACCTGCACCTGTGTTGCGATACTACGTGCTGTAAGAATTGCCTCGCTGGGTGAGACCAGCGAGCACACTTGGTCCAGCATCCTGTTCCAAGCAGGCAAGCCAGAGGTCTCAGGGAAGCTCACAAGGAAGGTGTGGGGATTACGACCATCTCATCATTTATTTGTCTCCAGAAGACAAGACAGTATGCTGCCACTGAACAAGGAGGCGACTGACATGGCATGTCCTCTATATTCTAATCTCACCTTTTTTAAAAAATTACCCTCTTGTAATGAGTGTCGTAAGTTCATTCAGTGTTCTGTGAGCACATCAACCATTATTATTTTTATTTTATTTTATCGCATTTATTTTATTGCATTTTTAAAAATTATTTTATTTTATTTTATTTTATTTATATCCCACCTTTTCCTGCAAGGTAGCATACATAGTTCCCCCCTTCTGTAATTAAATCCCCACAACAACCTTGTGAGGTAGGTTAGGTTGAGAGGCAGTGACTGGCTCAAGGTCACTCAAGGAGCTTCCTGGCTGAGCAGGGATTTGAACCCTGGTCTCCCAAGTTTTCGTCTTGACACTCTAACCATTACACTACGCTGTCTCTTTGTAAAAGCCTCTCTTTGCAAGGAAGCTGCTCCAACCTCTTCATCATGCAGTTGTCCCTTTTGCATACTTTGCCCAGCTCTAGGATATTCTCTTTGGAATCAGGCAACCAAAACCTTACATATGTTGGAATTAACACTGGGGACTTGTGTTGAAGTCTCTGCAGAAAGCTCAATGTGGTATCTGCCACCCTGTGGGAAGCCATATGTGTGTGAACTGGCTCATTGTGTAGCAGCAAGGATAATTTTGGTGCCGGTTCAAAAGCACAAAGAAGAAAAGTTCTTTTTTAACTAGCATGGAGAAAACCGGCCCATGTGATGGAGCATTCCACACAAATGACTAACCACCAAAATGGCCCAGTGGCTAAGAGACGGAGCTGTGAATCAGGAACTTATCAGTTCAGAGTTAATCTCTGCTGGGAAACTTACTGGGTAGCCAGCCACTCTCTCTCACCTTCAACCCCCCCATTCTCAAGGCGGGGATAATAATCCTGGCCTGTCCTAAAGGGTTGCTGCAACAATTGCTAAGCTAATGAGTATGAAGTGTTTTGAACACTAAAGTGGTATAAACACTAAGTATTAATATGATAACAGGTGCCAGATGGAGTGATTTTAAATCGTTTCCATGTGGTAACTGCAACGTGCAGACAGGCCCGAAGGCTTTGATTATGTAGAGGAAATAAATGCACCATGCATTACATAGCACTGACATGAGAGGGGTTGGGCTGGAAGCCAAGATCCCATTATAGCCAGGGCTATTAGCATGGCATACAGATTTGGTGTGGGACAGGACTTCAGTTTCTTGAGAATCTCAGCCTCTGTGTTGCTGCAGGAAGCCACACACAGGTATATAAACATAAGTGTATGCATGCATGTGCACCCACACACAACATCTCACTCTCTCCCCATTGTGCAGAATGTTTACCATTCACCTTGCTGGGGGGTAGGTTTCAGTCCAGGTCTACAAAAGGCTACCTAGGGTTGAGGAGGCAAAAAGGCTGGGTGCTGCAGAGCCACCGATTCTTCCTCACCAGCACACCAATGATGTTGCAAAATATATTGATTTCTAACATTTTAAAATCTCCTGGTAGGCAATGCAGATTTGGGATACAGGTGTCATGAGCGTAGCTGGTGTGTGTGTGTGTGTGTGTGTGTGTGTGTGCAGCTCTCCCCCTAAAATCAATAAAAATACTTAACTAACTGACCAATTGCATTGCAGATAACTAGGTTCTTGCCCCCCCCCAATAAATTCTAGCTACACCCACGACAGGTGTCATGGATGAGGAGCTTGAAACAAGCCCCTCTGCACATCTTCACAGGGATGGATCTTGTCCTAAGTTTAGCAGCTGATTTATGTCCTGCCAGCTGTTTGGGGATAAACCTTGTAGAAATATTACGGTTGTCTTTTGCACTTTGGGATAACCTGTGCGCACATTCCTTCCTGAAGCAGAAGTGTTTAAAATACAAAAACAAAACCCTGGTGTTGAGATCTTAGGTTTGCTATTCTTAACCACTTGGTATCCAGAGATCCTTTTGTCTATGCATATAGGCATGAGGTCCTGTATGGAGGAAGGTAGACTGGGTGGGGTGTCAGGCATGGCTTCCTACTCCTTCTCCCCAGCACCCATCCAAACCACTTGCAAAACCCAAACTGACTAGTGCCTTTGAATGCCAACCATGAGCAACCAGCTACTATGGTGCAGGCAAGCCCATTCCTCCCCTTTCTCTTAGGAGGGAGGGATTTGAGAGAGAGAGAAAAAAAATCACAAATGTCAGTCAAGAAATACTGCAACGAAAATGGACCCTCCACAGTCAGTCAACAGCCGGCCGCCTGTAGTTAAGCCCCGGCAGCGTTTTTGCAGCTTTCAGAGGTGGCTGTTGGCAGTGTCGCTTCTGCAGCGGCAGCGGCGGCAGTGGCTCCAGGAGCGCTGAGCTTTTCCTCTTTGCAAGAAACTGCTTGGCCAAAATGGGGAGAAAGATATTGGCTGCAAGCCTCGCGGAGGCTCCTCCCCGAGCCAGGATCCTGAGGTTTTTGGAGGATTTCTTTTAACTCCGTGGCGAACCTTGGCGAAGGAAACAAGTTGCCACACACCACCACCAAGTAGCAACGGGGAGAAAACGCTGCCTCTCCAGCAACACCCAGCCAGTCCTCCGCTTCTCTCCCTCGCTCTCCTTCTGCTAAAAATCTACCTTGGATGCGATTGTTCCTTTTTAGTTGTGCAGGGAAACTGGCGCTGTCTGCTTAGACTGGGGAACGCCGATCCCTTGGATTTCTGCACACACACAAACGCAGAGAGTGGGAATAAACGAGAGAGAGAAGACAATGAGGGCAAACATGATCTGACGGGGGGGCGGAAAGATACAATCTCACCCTCTCTTGGGGCTCCGGCAGCGTTTTTTTTTTTTTCTGGGATCGGGGATTTATTTTTATTGGTGGTATTTTCTTTGGAAAGGCAGAGGGAGGGGGAAACCGACTTCAAGTGCGGAGCTGCTTCCAGCTGGTGCGTGAAGCTTGCCGGGTTTGGGGGAAAAAATCCCCCCCTTGGATACAAATTTGCAGGAAATCCTGCCGCGGGCGCCGAGATAATCACCCTCACCATGAATTCCGTGGCTGGGAATAAGGAGAGGATCGCGGTCAGCACCCGAAACAGGAAATATGGGGTAAGTTGCCCTTAAGTAAAGGGGGAGGAGGGATGCTTGCAAAAATAATAATAATAAAAATCGACAGCGCTGGGCTTTCACACAAAAGGGCTGCGAGCGGACACGGATCCCGCCCCCTCCGATCAAGCCGGTCGCCTTCTGAAGCAGCGGCACGGTGCCCCAAGCCAAAGGGGCAGCCGGGGGTGCCTTAACCAGTTCCGCCCCTGGGACGCGAAAGAGAGACGGGGCGCCTCTCTCGCTTCCTCCGCGGCTGCAGACGCCGAGCGCTTGGGCAGCAGCAGCAGCAGCAGCCCATGGACTCTGCACTCCTTTAACTTTTGCAGCCTGGGGTTCCGCCTAGACAGGCGACTCTGCGGGGCGAAACGTGCTTCGTGGATCTCTCCTCTCCTCCGCTGTATATAGAATACAGTAATCTGACTTCCGAGGGGCTTTTGCACACGTACGAGAGGGGCACGCGGGGTGGATCGCCAGGGAGGGAGAGAGAGGAGAGCGCTCCTTGGAGGGGGCTTGGATTGGAAAAACGTGCGCGCACACACCCACCACTTCTGCAGGGAAAATCGATCTCAGGTGGTGACTTTATTAAAAAAAACCCCACCTTCTTGGAGATCAGAGGGGGCGGGTGTGCCTGGAGGTCAAAGGTGCCAACTTGAATAAAATATGGGGGGGGGGGGAGGTGAGCCCCGCCCTGCATAATTGATCACACGATGTGGGGCATGCATATCGTTTGAATGGAAATGCACATCAACTTGGGGGCTCAGATATTTTATGGAGGGGGAGGGCGAAGGGACCTCGGCCCCTAGGAGTTGGCTCCTATGCGCGGAGGGGTGTTTTAGATGACTTGGGGTGATCGTTAATATCTAACATCTCCACGAGCCGCTTGGTTCCTATCAACGCAACTTCGCTGCCCTCCTTCCACGCCCCCCGCTGATCTGCTTCCCTTCTCCACTCAGGTGAACGACCCCTGCTCCCCGACCAAACCCGCGGCTCCCTTCTCGCCCGAAAGCTGGTACCGGAAAGCTTACGAGGAATCCCGGGCCGGCAGCCGCCCAGCCCCGGAAGGAGCCGGCTCCATCCTGGGCTCGTCCGGCACCCCTTCCCCGGGATCGGGCACGTCGTCGCCGGGCTCCTTCACCGGGTCGCCGGGCCCCGCTTCCCCGGGGATCGGCAACAGCTCTCCCGGGTCACTGGGGGGCTCGCCGGGCTTCGGCACGGGGTCTCCGGGCTCCGGCAGCGGAGGGGGCTCCTCCCCGGGCTCCGACCGCGGCGTCTGGTGCGAGAATTGCAACGCCCGCTTGGTGGAGCTGAAGAGGCAAGCGCTCAAGCTGCTCCTGCCGGGGCCCTTCGGCAGCAAGGTGAGCCATTGAGCGAGTCGGTGGCCCGACGGCCAGCAGGGCTTGAGTCTCCCACCCACACACGCGCGAACACGAGTGGAGAAAGCGTGAATTAACAAAGGAAGGCAGGAAGGAAGGAATCTCAGAGCAAGGAGACAGGACATTCGGGGAAAGGAAAGTGAGGGAGCAAGGAAAAGGGGGGGGGTGTCTTGAAATCAGGGGATCAAACTCCACCCCCATCATTTGGGAGAAAGAGGTGATCTCCTTTAACCTGTGGCTGGGTAGTGAGACCCCCTTCCCGCATCCAGCGCAGCTCTGTAGCTGAGCCCCCCCCCCTCCCCATCTCCAGACAAAAGACGTTTTTGACACGCTCAGCACAAAGTGAGAGGAAGCACCAAGGGTGTAATCTTCTGTTTGTGTTGTACTGGTTTGTAATGACGGCATGCCTGCATACGCGGTTTAAGGAGAGTTCAGTCTGAGTCAATAAATGCCTCTGACTAGTCAAATAATTAGTCCTGCAATATACCATTAATATGGTTCCCAAGGTTTGAAAGGAACCAGTGTTTGGTTCAAACTTCTGTTTTCTTTCTCTTCTTGTCCATTTCCTTTTAAAGAAAATACCCAGCTCTTTATTAAATCTCATATGCGCAGCTGCAAAAAAACGTATTTCACATTTTGTTGTTGTTGTGATTGCACAAAAATGTGTCAAGCCGCATGTAAGGGTAAACCCTGGCCATCTCTCATGGGTGCACATCTTGTGATGTGATGGGCAATCCTCTGGAGGGAAATGGGTGGCCTTCTCCAAGGAGATCTGGCAATGAAAAATGAATTGATCTAAAGCATAGGCATGCAAGGTTGCTCTTTCTGTCCTCAGTGTTGAGAGGAGAGCCTCAGGCTACAATCTTCTAGGTGTGTGCAGTATCCTTGGAGGAGACCCTGGTGCCTACTCCCAGGTTACATAAGAATAGCCAATGGCCCATCTAGTCCAGCATTCTGTTCTCCAGGGGCCAACCAGATACATGCCTGTGGGAAACCCTCAAGCACAACACTCTCCTCCTGAGGTTTCCAGCAGCTGGTGTTCAGAAGCGTTGCTGCCTCTGTTCATGGAGGCAACGCATAGCCATCATGGCTACCAGTCATTGATAGGCTTATCCTCCATGAATTAGGTTAGCTTGCCTCGGATTGCAGCCTGACTTGGGGGATAAGTCCCACAGAACTCCGTGGGGCTGAACAAACATGGATAGTAACATCAGTGATGTCCAGTGGATAAAGAACTGGTCTGAGCTTGCAGTGGTCAACTCAGATTCTCATAATCTCCTCTGTATACGGCAGCTGTGTTTATGCTGACTCCCAGCCTGTAGCTGCTGTGGTGGTGCCAGTGTCATGGCAGCTTACCTGGGCAGATCAAGGCTCTGCAGACTCACCAGCAGAAGCACTGGATTGGTGCCACAAGTGCATCTCTGCATCCCTGACTTTGCTGCCACCTTGCCCAGCACCATTCAGGTACCTTGTAGGGACATTGGAGGAAGAACATGAGAATATCACGAGCGTCTGTGGAATCAGATGATCTGTGTAGTCCAGCATCACGATGGTCAACCAGATGCCTGTGGGAAGCCTGTAGGCAGTATGTGAATACAACAGCACTCTGTCCACCTGTGATTCTCAGCGAATGGTATTTGGAGGCCCACAGCTTCTGACAGTGGAGATTGAACAAAGCCATTGTGGCTAGTAGCCATGGCTAGACTGGAGGGCATTCCCACAGTTCTGTCCCACCAATACTGGCTGCTACTGCCTTCCAGCCACAGCTGCTGCACACTAAAGCCACCACATCAGCACTGGCCCTACCATTAGGCAATGTGAGACAGTACTCTTAGATGACAGCTGCTGAGGGGCGAGGAGTAGTAGGCAGAGAGCTGTGTGTGCCACATGCACCCTCTTAGCCTGCTGCCCTCAAGGGCAGTGGAGGATAATGCCCTTATTGCCTGTGTACAGGCAAGATTCGGGTAACTGTCAGTTTGGCATTTGTCTGTGGAATGTGGAGGGCACTATACCTTCCCTTTGCTCAGGCAGCAAAATGTTTTGGGATGGCCCTGCGTCATGAGGAACACTGGTCCCAGACTCTGCAATGGATTCTGAGATGCAAATGAAACACCAAGAGTTGCACCTAAAATTGCCATTTCAAACAAATGTTTTGGGTTCTTTGGTGTGTGGTGTGGACATTCACCATGGGTGAGCTAAGGGACTATGGGTGAGCTAAGGGGAATAAACATAGACATTTCCATTGAGATTGGCAGTGGGAGCTCCTCCCATTATTGAAAGCTCTTCTAGTTAAAAAAAAAGAATTCTTCCATTCCAAATGAAAGAAGGGTTCTTACATAGCCTTCTGCCTGACAGGCTAGTTTTCTAAATGTAGTACAGTGTTTTATTGTATGAACGTTCTATTGTTTGAAGGAATAGCCATTTCTGTAAGCTCACCCCTCCAGTCATAGTGGTAGAGTCTAAACACAGGTTTACCATCTGCATGAGAACTGAGCCTTAGTTTGCCACCTATTAGATCACAGATGGGAATTCCAATCTTCTTGTCTTCATGGTATAATTGCGTAAGAACAATAGAGAGTGTGGAACACTTCATAAATTAAATGTGAAATAAGTGTCAAAAAGCCATTTAATTTGATACCATTTTTGAGGTTTTGAAATTGCTGGATAAAATCATGCATTGAAAGGATATAATGTATTCTGTGCACACACTCCATGTTCATGCAGTTGAATTAAAATGCCTTATTCTCTCATTTTGTGTATTTTACACATCTGTGAGGTGTCCTCTGGTTTCATTTTACTACCTGCATCTGGCAGTTGAAAAGGCTACTGTGCTCACTACTCATAGCAGAATTTGCTCAGTCTGGCATTTTCTTGAGTTTTTGCCTTTTAAATTACCCTACATTTACTTGGTACTCCCATCCCCTCCCTCATCTAAATCAAAGATTGGCTCCATAGCTCCTTCCTTTTAGTGCGCCTCCTCCATCATTTTGCTTCTCCTGTGTCCATGGGTATATGACATCATCTCTCCCCACTATTTCCATTGCAATCACACAGCAGACCGCTGGCAGGTCTCTGTAGTTCTACTGAGAAGCATGCACATTAAAGTGCCACTGGATGATCAAAGTTGCTCACATGCTATTTCATGTTTGTAGGAAGGAAAATGTGCCAGAAGAAAGCCTTGCCTTCCATTGTCAGCTCTGCAATATAGTGGCAGGAACTTCTGCAAAAAGTATGATTGGTGATCTGGGATGTGGAAGAGGAATGGAAGTGTACAAAAAGTGTGAAACTAACCAAAGGGTCAAGGCACATCCATGGTTTATGGTGTAAGCTGTAATATCTTATGCTGAGGGCAACACTGTTGTGAACAAATCTGCATTTATAACTTGCTTGAAGGGTGTAGCTCTACACTACATAGTCTTTATCTGAAGAAGTGCCACAAATGATGATGTCATCTAGGAGTGACAGCTTCCATGACACACTTGGGTTTGTTCACAAGTTACGTTTCTGTTCTAATTGATTTCCTACAGTGCTTCCACACTGCCACATCTGTGGTTCTCCTCCCTGAATGGTTATGACCATGGAAATTCCTTGGCATTAAAGGTTGCTGAGCTATAGTGAATACTTCACTGACCTGGCTTGCACTCTTAAGCTAAACCATGGCTTAGCATGAGCACGTGTGCTGCTTTTTGCCAGTACTGTAGCTATGGGGGAGGAGAGTTGGGGCTAGCTGGGTTTTTTTGCCCTGGGTGAAGCCTCTAGAGGGGCTCCATTGAGGCTCCCAGCCTGTGCACATGGGTGTGTGTTTGTGTCAAACTGGGTTTTTAACCCGGGTGAAATAAAGCCTAGTTTTGTCCCTGTTTTTGCTTATGCATCATGTGTCATCCAAACCTGGTCTCTTGGTTAAAATCTCTCCAGACTCTCCATGAACTGTAACCCAGAACAAACTTTGGTTACAACTTGTGGTTGGTCTGGAGAAAGCTTAACCATGAGCCTGGGTGTAGATTACATTTAAAGCCAAACCTTGGCTTTACTGCACTCTTAACAAACTACAGTTCCAGGATTCTTTGGGGAAAAGTTACGAGCACTAATAGTGCTTTAAATATCTGGTACGAATGTGGCCTAAGGCAGAAAGCGCCATTCAGTATATAAAGAGGACCTTCCTCTCGCCACTGAATAGCCACTGCCAGGCCTCCTCTTCAGTGGCTGTGAGGCATACATTCCAGATCCGAGGTCATGATTTTAAGTGGGGAATGAGTCCTGGCACCTCTCTTCTTAGAAATTAAACACACTGGGAAACGGTTTCTGCAGCTTGGCCATATCGTCAGAATGGCTTTACATGATTGATGTCACCTTTGTAACGCTGAGTTCTTTATTTGGATTGGATATCAAGATGTTTTGAGGTAAAATCTGGCAAAATCCTACCAGTCGAGCCACTCTTTGAAAGCAGTGTGGGAAGATTACCACATATATTGCATAAAAAAGTTAACAGTCCCGAAAGCTCTGTCAGAGGCTTTTGAGCTGACGAAGTGTAAAAAGAATTGTAAGCGTCTCTCTCTTCCATGGTAACCCTGTGGATGTTGGCGAGCCAGTGGGTTGCATGAATGTGACACAATGCCATTCAATTTGCACTGTTAGGCCCAAGTGTTATCAAATGGTAATATTTACTCTTCTACTTCAAAGAGGGGTTGGTTTTCTTCTTCTGTGGTTTGGATCAAGAGGTATCAAGTGAAAACACTGATTGCTGTTGAAGGGTCTCTAGCACCGGTTTGCTGAATTGCATTTATCACTATTTATTTATGGTGCTCTTTGAATTAAAATATGGATGGTCCTAAAGGACTGACTGAGTTGAATCCTCCGTTTGCATAGCGTATATGATTATATGAATTGCTCGCTGCTAAAACAGTTATTCCAAGTGTGCAAAAATTAAATTAAAAGGCTGAATCATAAATAAATGGTTCCACAAATCACGTTCTTTTGATAGCTGTAGTAAGTTTGTGGTTTTACAATTATTGGTAACCTTTTTTAAATTCTGTCCCAGAACTGGTGACATTTCCCACTGAGTGTTGCAAGTGGAGTGCAAGAGTTAAGCTGAATGGTGGAAGATTTCGGGACAGATAAACAAACGTACTTCTTCATGCAGCAGTTAAACTATAGAACTTGCTCCCACAGGAAGCAGTGATGGCTAATGACTGGGATGGCGTTAAAAAAGGACTGGACAAATTCATGGAGGAGAGAGGACAGTGGCAGCTAGCCATGATATGTATGCTCTGCCTCCATTAGAGAAGGCAGTATTGCTTGCTGGAAACCACAGAGCAGGAGAGTGCTTGTGCGCTCAGGTCCTGTTTA